TCACAAAAGTGATCTCTCTTGTCTGGATTGTTTTATATGGAATGTTTTGAAGTTCATGTCTGTGTATCTCATGCGGGTATTTATCGGTCCAAAGACATGATTAAGACTTGGCAGAATTACACACACATTTTGTGGTGATAAACATGTGCTAATTGTCAAGAAAACCTAATATGAATAATAAATCCATCAAAAGATAGATTTGTTATTTGACATAACTTATTGTCAATGTTTGATCATTACAACAAGAATACCACTTACAGTTAATATCACTACCCAAAGGCTTGGTATTAATGTTGTGCTAGGTATCTTGAGATGTTGTCATTAAATTAATTTATTTAGAGATTATCTGTTTGGTAACTTAATGTGAGCATAATTGTTTATTCCTTTTATTTGAGACGGGAATTGCAACATTTTTTGAGGATGTTGAGTTTGGGGGGAGAAATCCAGTTAGAGACATTGTCTTTGAGGAGGAAGCAGGAGTAATTCATTTCCTACTACTACTTTTAACTAATCACAAGTTCCTATACCTGTCATTGCTCGAGAAGTAATTTCGGATCCTCAACCAGACAATGTTGTTCAAGATAATATAATTCAAACCCCCATTCAAGATGAGGTAATTGTTCCTGAGGAACAAACTCTACAACCTCAACCTCAAGAATCTGTGCCATTAAGGCGATCCACCAGAGAAAAGAGATTTGCATTTTCAGATGATTATATTGTATATCTCCAGGAACATGAGGTAGAAAATGGAATGTCGAAAGATGATCCAATCAACTTTCGTCAAGCCATGGAAAGTTCCAACTCTCATAAGTGGAGAGTGGACAGATTTCCATAGAGCACATTGGGACAAACTCCATGATAGCAAATCCACTTACGAAGGGACTACCACCCAAGATCTTCCATGAGCACACTGCTCAGATGGGTGCTGTTCTATTTGAGAACATTCTAGTTTAGTGGGAGTTTGTATTTATATTACTGCTTTATGTCAGCCTTGAGTTTTATCTATGTAATTAGATTAATTTCTGCAGAAATGAAATATTCAGTTTATTACGCTCTGTTACGTATTGTGAAGTATTGATCTGGACCAGTTATATATTGAAATGTGATTTGGTGAGCTAACTTAAGGGTAAGATTCTTTGACATGTCACGATAATATAACTCGAACTGTATACAAAGTTAGTCGATTATGGTTGTCCATTTTCGTACACGAACACGCATATGATACAACTCGATACCAGAATATTAAATAGTACGAGTTAGTATCAAATCTATATAATACGAAATTGACACAAATAATTCGTTGATAAAGAAATAGTTACGCGTTTTAATATTATTTTTACTAAGAAATGTTATAACATTTTTTAATCTCTTATGTAGATCCATCCAACTTATTGAAAAGCATATAAAATAGATTTTTTTAAAAGGTTAAAAAAGGTTTTATTTTTGTCTTAAATTAAAGATAATGAATTTTTTATCCACTATTTCATTTAGTCTAAAAAAAAGATATATTTTTATAAATTGAGAAAATAAAATTGAGTTGAAATCAAATATATCCGTATAAACAATTTCATTAAACAGTGATAAATTTAACTTGTGGAGAAAATTTTCAATTTTTTTTTCATACACGTGATAATTTTAATTTATTGCTAAATTTTTTGACATGATATGTTAACACAACATGAACTACACACGTATTGAAAATGACACGACACCATAACAAGAAATAAGTAGATACTAGTTGTATAATTTCTATTTCTATTTCTATGAGGGGCAGAAATAGAAATTAAAACATATTGGTTAAAGTTGGTTTTCATTACCTTTCAGTTTTAAACCAATAATGGTTAATTTATTGGTTTTCATTACCTTTCAGTTATGAAAACCAATTACAACCTTTAAAAGGTTATGGTCCCTATTCCTTCCTAAGGTGAAAGATAAGAACACTGTTTTGTTTTTCTAAATCCTCTCAAGGAGAAACATAAGGCACCAAAGGGGAAAGGATTAGAAGGCAATAACATAGTCAATATCAAGGTTTTATTGACAATCAGACGCTTCCGTTTAACCATTCATCAATGGATTCATGTATGTCATTTTGTCTTGATTTCTTGATAATACACATGGTAAATGATCCAAAGTGTAAGGTTTATGTTCTGAAATTTATGTTTACAATATGTTCTTATATAGGCTTGTTTTGGAAAGTAAATTAAAAGTTAGTATATAAATTTTTTTTAAACTTTTTTTAAAAAAATGTGTAAAAAAAGTAGAATGACAATGTGACATAAAAAAAAATTCAAAAAACTGATTTTTAACTCAATTGCCAAAATAAGCCATAATAGGAGAGCTAATTCTAAACAATTATTTACATCATTATTGTTTATAAAATGATGACGTTTGTTTAACATTTGAATAAGTTGTGAGTAATTAATATTTTATAATTATATTGTAACTGGTAATAAGGTTCAAACTACGTTTTACTTATTCAGGAGCAATTTGGAAATATCAATTTTTTAGATTTGTTTTAATTTTTTGTCTTTTCTAGATCACATCATCTCTCTACTTTTTTATACAAAAAAATTATGAAAAGTTAAAAAACTAAAATAATCAACTTTTACCATCTTTCCAAAACACCACTCATTCTAATTTGATTATAAGACTTCTATGATTTAAGTTGATTCTAAATTATTTAAAACCACAAATAACAATTTAATTCTTAACTAGCTCATCACATGACTTTTCACTCAACCCATATCATCACTATTATATCAGAGAGTGGAGTTCAAAAACTAAACCTCACTTCATGATGGCCCAAGCTGTACATGCATGGAAAGTCATGTTTGGGATTGACAAAAATAAACGTTAAGAAAGGTTTCGATATTCCTGGTGAAAGATATTTTTACCAAATTCTCTCAAAAAAGGTATAAAAAAAGAAAAAAAAGAAAAAAAAAAGGGTTAAGCCGTTGTGGCTAGCTCCACTACAAGAATTTACACATTTTGCGACCATTTTTACCGACCAAAAAAAATTTGGTCGCAAAAAAATGATATTTGGCGACCAAATATTAATTAGTCGCGAATGATCATTATTTTTGGCGACCAAATTTTATTGGTCGCAGAAGGTTATATTTTGGCGACCAAAAAATGAGTTGGTCGCAGAAAGTGGTATGCTTTTGCCGACCAACCACAAATTTGGTCGCAGAAGGTCACATATTTTTTGGCGACCAAAAATTTGGTCGCCAAAAACTTATTTTCAGCAACCAAAAAAAATTAGTCGCCAAATTCGTACTTTTAGCGACTAATACTTTAGTCGCCGTTGATTGAGATTTGGCGACTAAAATTTTTGGTTGGCGAAGGTACCTTTTCTGCGACTAATATGGTATTTTGGTCGCTAAAAGTTTGGGAGGAAAATTTGATTTTTATAGAGGCGGGAATTGAATTTTTTTTGCGACAAAAAAAATTTGGTCGCCATTTTTAAAACGACGTCGTTTTGTACCAGGAAAATAGAAAAAAAAAAAGAAAAAAAAAGAGCCCTAATCTCCATTGTCTCTATCTCGTTCTGTGTCTCGGTCCGTCCTCTCCCTCTCTGTGTTGGTGCCCTCAATCGGTACCCACTCTCTCTAGCTCACCGTAATCTCGCATCGTATGGTAAGGGTTTTGTGGGGAAATTCGATTGTGATGATGGGTTTTCTGAGAAATTTGATTTTTTATGTGGGTTATTTATGGAGATGGAAATGATTGGATTACGCTGCTATGGCTGATCAAAGTAACTTTCTAGATGCTGGAACCGCTGGTGAATTGGAGGTTCAGGATAAGACTACACTTCTTGAATGGTTTGCTAATGAGTACAAAAAGTTTGGATGCACCTTGGAGTTTGTCACCAATAAATCGCAGGAGGGATCTCAGTTCTGCAGAGGTTTTGGAGGAATCGGAGGAATCCTCCGTTATCAGCTTGATATTCGATCATTCGATGAGCTTTCTGATGATGGAGAAGTTTATGAAGACTCTGATTAGCAATCAATAAACTATTACTCCGATCCGGTGCAGGAGCATGGGGCAAAAGCCTTCACCGTGTGCGTGAGCTCTCGCCCTTCTTTCTGCTCCTCTGCTGTTGCTCGACAAGTTTCAAGTGTGTCTGATTAAGGTTAGTTTCATAATTTTTGAACTTAAAAGTTTGTAATGATATATTTAGGGCATAATTACCTTTGATGGGTTTTGTATGATGACCACCTTTAATTGGTTGTTTCTAATGTTCTTGATCTCTCTATCTTCATTTTTTAACTTAAAAGGAGATTACAGTGTCTTTGAGCTAAAACAAGCTTAATGTGGTGGATAAATCTTCTCATGAAAGAGTGCAACCCCTTCTATTGCTTGTAGGATGCCATTTGAAGACTGCTTTTGCTTTTGCTTTTACTTTTGCATCACCTTGGTGGTTGACTGGATCAAGATGCTGAAGATATAAATATCAATGTTTGGAACTGTGGTGAAAAACCTTTATGTGACCTTGCTCTGAAGAAGTTTATGTCCATTGAGTTTTATAATGTCTGTTTGTAACTGTTAGAAGTTTATATATTTTATGCAGAACTTTTCTATCAAACATGTTATTGTGGATAGTTCATGACATGATTTATGGGCTTGCTATTTAGACTCGCCATGGATATAAATTTATAATGATGGAGTTGGAGCAATATCTTAATACCTGGTTAAGGTAACGTACTATTTAAGCAATTTTATGTTTGGTTCAGAAATTTTATAAATTGAGTCATTTGGTTAGAGGATTGTCGTCTAAGTGGTGTCACAAATATAATTGCACCAAGCAGAACCATAGTTGCATGGATTATGATTCACAGGCATATATATGTTCTCTGGGCAGTTGATGTTTATTAGATGCATGTCTCTGTTGAGTCTTTTCCACCCCAGAAATGGAAGTTTTTGAGTTATTTCTTGTAACAACCCTTATACTGTTTACTGAGTAATGACTGAATGATTACCGTTAATCATTGATTACTGTGAAATAGAACTGATAATGACTGATAACTGACTGACTGAAACTGGAACTAAATTGATTGAGTATATGTTAGTTAAATTGCATTCTATCTGTTTGATTGTATGAATATCTGTTCATGCTTATATGTTTAGACTGTTGTAGACGCGCCCGTGGGCCTCGTGCTACAGTTCGGACTCGATTTGTGTCACGGTTCTTAATCTGAACCAAAGAGTCCAAATCTGGCAAATCGTTTTGAGAAACAGATTTTTGAAAAAGTAGTGCCAAACATGGACTGCTTTGCCAGATACAGAGTCGCCACCTAAATATTTTAAAATGGGAGAATTTAGGAAACCCTGACTCGGTGCCGAAGGCCACATGTCCGTCATCACCGGAGTTGTCTCGGCTCGGGAGCTTGGGTACGATCGGGGAAGGTCAGCTATGAGCACCCCCTTTCGCCCGGTCCGAAGACCGGCCTCTACTAACCGTGATATCCAATTTTGAAAACGTTACGTGTTCTTAAACCGGTTATTAGCCTAGAATTACTACGTTGTGTGCGCAGCAAACAAGTATAGACCAAATCACCCAAATTGGAACAAAACATTTTATGTTTGTTTTGAAAATGGTTTGCTACTCGTAAGTAGGCTAAAATGCAGATTTTGCCACCCTCAAGTGGGCTTTTAGAAAAGATGATTTTGCCACTATCTAGTGGGCTTAAAACTCACAGTTTTAATGCATTATTCCAATTTAGGTAATTCAACCTCCATCCACAGGCATTCAAGCAGTTATATCACATAAGCAGCTAGCCTCATGGTAATCATACTGTCATGGCAACACTCACACGCATGCGATATACTAAAGCATAAAAGCTTACCTAGTACTCCGAACCAAAATAATAAACTAGTTAGCAAACATGCATGTCCCTAGTTCATGTTAAGTGGCTAATGCAACACAGGCAAGGATGCAATTTAGAGTAGGCTCGGCTAACCCTAAAATGGCATATGAAATGCTACAAGTAACATGTATTCAATTTGGAATTAAAAAGTACAATGTAGTTTGTATGATGTACCGAGCCCGGTGCATGTAAGACAAATGTATGGATGCACGCATCATAGCATAAGGCATGCTAAATTAAACATAAGGTATGCTAATTTCACAATGCCCTAATCTACCATCATAAGCTGGTAAATAAAAGGGAAGAACGAAATGGGGATTGGAAGACATACACACACTCACCCACACTTATTACATGTTTACCCTCACTCAGGGGGTTCGAATTAATATTACAGTCCCAAAATAATGAACAAATAAAATTATTACAAAATTTCCTAATTAATTAAAAAAAGGAAGCAAAAGAATGAAGAGGGTGGCCACAGCCTTTGCCTCGGGGCGCGCAGATGATGCATGCTCGAATCCGTCCTGCCCGGAAAACCCGTACTATACTCTTGTCGCCTCTGTTTGTACTGCCTTGTCTTTCTGAAAATTTCCAAAGTGCTGGAACAAGCCCTCTGCATCCTGCAGAGCACCACCGGCCAGACAGAATTGCCACCGGCACTCCAAAATTCCCGTCGGCACTTTATCAGATTCATCGGCACTCCAGATAGTGCCGGTCGGCACTAAATTCTGCCGGTCGGCAGAAACTTCCTGTAATAGACAATTTGACAGCAAACAGAGGACAGGCAGTGCATAGTATGGAGTTTTTGGACACATGTAAGCATGGTCCTACTTCTTATCATATTTTGGACTCAAAGAAGCATGACTTTCGATCCTTGAATCATCAAGGGTACATGGTGAGTCAAAGGATCGAATTTGCCATTTGATATGAAAATGCATGCAACAAACAACATGAAAACCGAGGCCTTATCAAGTTAGAGTCAAAGGTCCCGATGACCGGGGATTAAGGCACATTACATCACTTGAAGTACGAATGGTCCTTGACTCCCACACTTGGTTTGACAGCCCAAACCAAGTAAATGCAATGCATGTTATGCAAACATGGCTCAACATGCAACATGATACCAAGATGCAAGGCACAACAAGTACTATGCTACTAACATGACAAATGTGTAATGTCAAGCATGCAAGGTGCAAATGTGGTGCAGACATAGACCAATTTTGGAATGGGATTAGCATGCTATGAGGCTTAATGAAGTAACCACGCAATATACATGAAACAAGCATGCAATGGGGGCCTTGAACCATAAAGGGATAGACCTTAGTCTACCCCAAAACAGCACCAAAAAATGCTCAAAATGAACGTGTATCAAAATTTTTCATGCATTCATACATAAACAGTACAGAACAGATGCACGATATTTACATTCATTCAAACTAGCGATCACCTAGATAGCGGTAAGTGACAGTCAGTCTATACAACAGTGAAACAGTACGGAAGGGGATTCTTAAAACCCTAAGCCTTAGACATAGGCTCGGAACTCGCATGAGGCACAAATGCTGGTACAAAACTGGAGTCTACCCACGCTCTAGCTCGATCTGGTGGCTGAGCACCTACATATATATATAAACAGTGAGCTAAATCAGGATAACATAATGCGTAAAGAGTTTAGAATGAATTCCTTACGGTAATGAAACAGTTCAATTCAATCAGTTATTTCAGTTGTTCATACAGTAAACATCATATATGGTACATCCTTAGCATACTAAAATAGTCTTAAAAGCGAACATATTGATGGCCATCAGATCAGTAAACAGTAGTGGTTCACGAGGGAACCGACAGAGATCTCTTAACAGTACTAGTAACAGTAAACGTAGTACTAAGATGCCAAGTACAGTCAGAAATAAGACATAAATTTTCAGTATCAGTTCAGTAACAGTTCAGTTCATATTCAGAATAATCATTGAACATATCTTTAACAATTGTTACTCACAGATTTCCTGCTTATAGTATGCTAGAGGTTCCCATTGCCAAACCGCTACACAGTCACAGGTGACAACACTTAAGTCACAAGTTGGAATATCATAACTTAATCCTAATTTGCTTGTGTGTTCTACAACATATCCTCATCTAAATGCTTAAATAGCTAAGAATGCTAGAATGGGATGAGGATGCAAAATGTACATTAAAAGCATTTCAGAAAACAGAGTCCGCTCGACGCAGGTTTCCCCTCGAGCGTCATGCAACAAGTACACGCCGACGAAACTTTCCGCTCGAGCGTACTGTAAAGTACTGGAGGGTGAAATCCCCGCTCGACGCCGCTCGAGCTGAGACATGACTCGCTCGAGCGCGCCAATCCTCCGCTCGAGCGACGTAAAATAGTGCAAGATGCTGAAGCTCGATTTCCCGCTCGAGCGGCACTTCCCGCTCGAGGAACACTGAAATCTGGAAATCCCAGATTCGAGCCTCAGTCCAAACAAGCTCAAAGCATCAAAACCAATCCTCTTGGCCCATTTCTGGAAAACATATAAACAATAGAGATATCATGTTTAAGCTCAATTTTAAAATTCAAGCCAAGGGTTAATTCAAACATTAAACATTTTCAAGCACAAGATGAACATGCAACATGCATGAATTCAACATTTTGAAGCTTCAATGATCTCTCAGGAGCCAATTCTTTTCAAACATGGTGAAATCATGCGACTTAAACATGATTATGAACATGCATGTAACCTTTCCATGAAAACAACTCAACACATCTACAACAATGCATGCATGAAATAGACGTCAAATCAACAACAATGAACAAAATATGACTTAGTTCTACATGAAGCATGAATCATGCCAGACTAGCTTAGAACAATCAAAGATGAAATTCATACTAGGTCCTCGAATGCTAGTCTAGAGTTCATTAGCAATCTACACTTCAATTCAGCAATTCTTCAAGATGAATTCCAGTTCTCTCACTTTCCTTCTTTGTCGGTAGAGCAAAAATGGCTGAGCAAAATGTTCTAGTTATATTGAGCTCAAATATGTTATATTGAGTGCACTAAGGGTGCAAATGTAAAAGTCCAACTCTTTAATTAGCTTAATTTAATCTAATTTAATCATACTAATCAGTTTTCAGAATTGTACTATAAAATCACATAATTTGAGGTCAAAAGACCAAT